TCTAGAGAGCTGTGTATGAGTGGCTTCTTTTCCAGGGGATATCTACATGCAGTAATGAATGAAGTCCCTTGACATGTCTTTCTTCTGAGGCACTGACAGGAATTGCTACAGATTCCTCTGAGGTGCAGGGTGCTAATTCTGCTCCCCCTATGGTCTGCTGGAGACCTGGGCATTCAGCACATCCATAGGTGTCTTACAGCCCTATTTCCTTCAATGGCATCGTCCCCTACCTTCTACACCCAGAGCAAGGCTGGGCAGGTTAAAGCTCCAGGTAATTAAGCAAACATTTAAATACTAAGACACAAATATCTTTTCAAGTTGGGAACTAGAATTTTAGCTGAACTTTCAAGGATAAAGAAAGGAAACCATTTAGCCTGTGAAGCTGATCTAACAGCATGACCTAGTTGTCCTGGCTGACACCTCAGCTCCTTTCAAACCACAAATTGACCACACAAAATTAAGAACTCCTATGTGGTTTGTATGAATATCTATTTCTAGTGGCTTAGTTACAGGAAGTCTTATGTCCATTTTCAAACCTTTAGTCACAATTTCACTGAAGCTGTGTAACTGTTCACCTGTCTTGCTCTGGCCATTCTTGCCTCACCCCTCTCTCTCTCTTGAAAGCACATCCTGTTTTGTGAGAAGACTTTGATATAACTCTGCAAGATGAAAAAAAAAACACAAATAAATGAGGCAACGTGAACCCAGCAATTAAGAATAAAGCTCCAAACTTTATTCATTGACTTGAGTACAACAGTGATGCAGATTACAGTGGCACAGGAGTGCAATATGTGCTGTTTGCGGTATGACAGTGGAAACACTAATTGTACAGAACGGCAACCCAGCTCAACTTTTCATTATGCATACAAGCAGACTTACTGCACAGACAAGACATTGATTCACTTTTACAGAGACTCAGAAAGAGAGCTGTCTCACAGATGAATGGAAAACACAGGGACACCTCCCCGAAACGCTGGTTTCTAACGTGTGGAGGGAGGAGAAAACAAAAAAATAAAATAATAAAAAAATCCTATTGCCAAAATCTACTGATTTGAAGGAAAATATACCTTTGAAAAATTAGTTTCAGTTTCCAAAGCTTAAAAAAAAAGCTCCCAGCTGTAAGGCCCCCTTACAGGAAGAGTTGTCAGCAGTGACCAAGCCGCGCTGCTTGGGCAGGACTGATGGGTAATGGCGCACAGAGCTCGCTGCTGTGAGCACGCACAGCAGCCAGAGGCTTTCCCGGGCCAGCCAGCCCAGAAAGAGCCTGCTCCAAAACATCTGGATGTCAGTGAGAGGCTCCACCAGTTTCAGTGGGTTTGCATCTGGGGGGGGGGGGAAGGGTTTTCTGAAGGGTGTTGGG